GATTTTCCATTTTTTTCTTATTTTCTCTCAAAATTTAAAATATAGAAATCTTTGCAAATTTCTTTATTTGCTTTGTGTTTAGTTGATTGCAATACAAAAATTGTTCGAATTACAATTTCAACAAAGCATACCTATAAACGCTTTTATCCGGTGTTGTATTTTTATCTCCATTTTATTAAAAAATATTGCAAAACATGAAAATTGTGTTTTCATACATTTTATAAGTATATGAAAAATCTACTCGTTGCCCTAGATACAACCTTTACTAATGTCACGGTTTTTACTACTTTTGCAAATATTTTACAATATTTTTTTATACTTTACGCAACTTTTTATCTTTTTTTTATAAACTTTTAACATTTTTTCATCTTCCTACTTAATTCAAATTTTTTCCCTTTTCCCTTTTTCTTCAGCAACTTTTTCTTTGCATTTTGGTATTTTTGCCTGTTATAAAAAAATCACTACTTTTCTTTACAGTTTTTTATTCATTTTTAATAGTGTATAAGTGATTTTTGGGACAAAAGAACAAAATATATTGGAATTTCTGTATTAAAAAGCCTTTCATTATAAAAAATCTTTATTTCACTTCAAAATAAATACAAAAAATAAGACTAAATTTAATAAATAAACTAAGAGTGCCAATTAAGTAATTAATAATAATTAAGTAATTCTTTTTAAAGCTTATTAAAACAATAGCAGTTACAGGTTCAAAAATAGTACTAATTATGTTCAAATTGAATCAGCACATTCAGAAATCATAAATAAACAATTGAATATTAAAAAAATTACACAAAAGTCACAAAACTAGTTTTCTATTAATGCACATTTTGCCTTTACCGAATCGACCTCTTTGCATAATAATCGGCCCTCACAAGAAAACATTAGCTTTTGGTTGAAAAATGTATTTTTGTAAAGCTCTGACAAGTTAATTAACAATAAATCATTCATGTTTTAAAATGGAATACTGATACAAGGTAATTAGGAGTCGGAAAAAAGGTGTGATAAATAACAGAAATGTGTAAAATAAGTCCATTTCGAGTGACTTAAAACGTGAAGCAATCTCGAATATAAAGCAAACTTTCAAAAAATACCTTTTGTGTGCAAAGGTGAAAGAGGATTTGCCAATAATGGCGTGCCTTTAATTTGTTATTGAATTGAAAAACACACTGTTCCATGCATAATGAAGTGTATTATTTGTAATTAATTACATCGAATTCCTCGAAGAGTATAGTTGCTGTCGAAAAAATTGAATGAATCACACTCTGGATTTAAAATTCAAACAATCGACATTGAAAATACCGTTGTCGATCGAAAAAGCGTGTATTAAATAACATTTGGTTAACGTCTTGTAGATAAATAATGTTAAAAGTATGTGCAAACACATCAGAGCCGAAGAAGAAGAAGAAGAAGAGAGTCTCGCGGCCGGTTTCAGTCGTGCCCTCATCGCCCAATTTGTTTTTTGGTCGCTGTCAAAAATTCACGTTGGTCTGGCGTAAGTTTTTACCCAAATATTTCTCTAAATGAATACGAGAGAACGTGACGGTTTTACGAAATCCGGTAAAAAGTCGAAGGAATCCGTCCGCCGCCGCTACTCACAATTAAAATTTTCGCTTCTCGGAATCGGGAGGACGCAGACTTTTTTTTTCTTCTTCTTCTTCACATTTCCCATATGGACGACGACGTGCTTTCGGCAATTGTTTCGAATTTTTAATGCACAAGGGGAATGATTCGGGTATTTCAGATGAAGATTATTGTACCCAGAATGAAAGCAACTGCTCCGATTCCGGTTTAGTACAGAATGCATCATGTGTCTAGACTGAAATCCGTTTATTCAAAACCTTTTTTTTTATTAAATCATCTTCTTCATTTGTATGACAATAGATTTTAATGAATTTCGGGGGTTTTTCCATGATTCACTTTTTTATTTTCAAATTTTGTTTTACTTTTTTTCTACATTACTACATTCGTTTCATGTTCTTGCATTTATTATACTCCTCGTTAGATTTGCTATTCCTGTTCATGTTGTTTTAGTTTGTTTTACATAATCTTACCTCATTTTCTTTTTTTTAGAACTGTTTTATTTTTTTTTATTTCCATAATTGTATCCAAATTCTATATTTCTTGATTTTCGTCTGATTTTTGCTCCCAAGTCTTATTATTATTATTATTTTAATTTGGTTATTCCTCTTTTTATATTTCTTTTTAATTATATTTTAACTTTATTCACTTTTGTCCTATTTTCATACATTTTTGAAAAAAAATATTTTCTAGCTTTGAGAAAAGTCTTGCTAGAATCTCTTGAATTTCATCTAGTTGCCTATGGATTTTTCAAGTAAAATAAAAAATGCCGCTTTAAAAAAATAGGAATGATACTTTATAAGATTGACAGCTCCCACTTATTGACAGAACTCTCTGGTTCAAAAAGAATATAGCGGCATAGAAAATAATAATTTCAATAAGGACTAGGCAACACGTTGTATTTTGTTTTGATAATCATATTTTCACATTTTTACCTTACTGTTTACTTACTAAGCTCATTTTTTTCAAGTTTCAAGCCGTAACACAAAAATAGTTCGAATTAAGTACAATTTAAACAAAGCGTATCTACAAATACTTTTTTTCTATTTCGGTGTTAGAATAAGTCTATTCCGGTGTTATATTCTTGTCGTCTTATTATGAAAAAAATATTGCAAACTTAGGAAACGCTCAGTTTAAATAGTAAGTATTATTCTGCCATCACTAATCGTACCAGAAAAACACAAAATTCGAACTACAATTTCAATAAAGCGACATTATCTAGCCTCAAGAGTAGTGAACACGTTTTGTTGTCTTTTTTTGCTTTACTTTTACTATTTTCTTTTCAAATTACCATCATATTAATTTTTCTTTTGTTCTGTTTTCATTTTTCTCTATATTTTAATATTCATTTTTACAAATTATTGTTAACGCTACATGTTTTTTTAAAAATTTAACAATAATTTTTTTATCTCTTTCTACTTTCTCCATTGTTCTTACAATCTTGCAATATTCGAAACTTTAATAAAAGTATAGAAATTATTTGCAAATATAAAAAAAAATCTATTGAATCTGTTTTTTTTTTGTAATCCGAATATTGATTGGACTAAAAAATAGTTCGAACTACAATTTCAACAAAGCATAGGTATCTACAAACACCTTTTCCAATGTTATATTTTTGTCATCTTTTTATTAAAAAATACTTATTGAAAGATTTGGGACAATTTTCCGCTACGCTCTGTTTAAATAATGCTTAGATTTATTGTTCTGTCATCGCTAATCGCATTAGAAGTATACAAAATTCAAACTACAATTTCAATGAAGCTACATCATCTAGCCTCGAAGGTAGACAACACTTTTTTCTTTTTTTTTTACTTTCCTTTTACTGTTTTCTTGTCAAATTGTCATCATCATATATTTTAACAGTAATTTTTTGCTTATTTTATTTCTTCCTACTTTCTCCTATTTCTCTCCTTTTAATCAATAATCTTCATTCTTTTTTATTTTTTCTCTCAAAGTTAAAAATAAAAAAAAATTGCAAGTTTTGAAGAAATATCTTGAGTTGTTTTTTGATTTGTTGATTACTGATTGTAGTACAAAAATTGTTCGAATTACAATTTCAACAAAGCGTATCTAGAAACACTTGTTTCCGGTGTTGTATTTTTATTGCAATTTTATTAAAAAATCGCGCAAGTTTTGAAAAAAGTCTCCGCTATACGCTCTCTTTACATAATGATTAGATTTATTGTTCTGTCATCGCTATCTGCACGAGAAGAATACAAAATTGAAACTACAAATATCAATAAAGCTACGTTATAAAAATAATGCTTTATTGTTCAACAGAATTCATAAGTATTCCAATAAGAGAACAAACAAAAATAATAAAAAAATCACGAAAAATAAACAAATAAGTAAACCAATAAATAAGTGATAAAATAAAAACCTACATACAAAAAATAAAGACATAAAGTATATGGAAAGTGATCAAAGATAGTGAACATGTTTTGTCGTCTTTATTACTATTTTCTTTTCAAATCATCAAATTTTCATTTTTTTTCCTCTGTTTTTTGGTGAATGACTTTCTTTTCCAAATTATTGTTAAAGCTACTTGTTTATAACAAAAAACTCAGTTTATTTTTAAACGTCTTGAAGGTGGTACAAAAATTCCTTGTCGGAACTTTGAACATCTCAATAGTTCACAAAAGATTCCAACAATGTCTCAATTGTTTCAACATTTAATTTATTTCTATTACATTCAAAAGCCATAACAAGGATATAAATAATAAGCACAGTTGAATACAATTCGTGACATTTATTTTTCCCAAACTCATGATTTGAGCGCTAAAATGAACGTCATGTAAAGTTGTAGTTGTGTCTTGTGTTAGTGAAACGCAACGGTTAAAATTTCAGAAGAAAAGTTATGTTTTTTGGTGAAAAATTGAATTACCTGGATTTAGGCCATACGAATTTGGAGAGAGAAGGCCGGAAGTAACTGTAGCCATTGTAGCCAACATCCAGACATCCCTGTAACGAAAAGCAGGATGAAATAAAATAAAATTTCTCTGAACAGTCGTAAACATAAAATTTCCCGAAAAACAATTAACCGATCCGTTTCGAATCGAAGAAAGTCTTGAAGCTAGAAATTGCAATAAATCATCGACCACGTGAATAAATTGTCAAAAACTCGTGCTGACCTGGATCTCGAGTGTTTTTGCTCATTGTTACGCAAATCGTCGATTTTTCTCTCTGTATTCCGAGGTGACAAATGATGAGACGTGAAGGCATCGTCACACTTTATGAATATGTTTCATTTATTCGGAGTTAAAGCAGGTCAAACAACGTTGAAATCCCGTGTATAGGATGTAATAAACGTTAGTAATGAAACATTTGAAACTTATGGACACGCCCTAATATGAACAGAACAATAACTTAAACAATGCCATAAATATTTATTAGAGACTCGCGGTGTGACTCTAAAAATGTTTAATTGCCCGGACTTTGCTCTCTCTCGTTCTGTCACTCTTCTTTTTTATCCAATGGACGAGAATCGGGACGGTAACGATGACACCAAACAAATTAAAACTTTTTTTTTCAAACTCGTGATAACTGAAATCGCTCGAACGGAATGACTGAGATAAAATTTCACTGCCTATAAAATCCATAAACGTGCAATTTCAGGAGAAATAAACGAGTTACTAATCATAATAAAAACATGCTTTAAATTAAAACGCATTTTGCACTTAAATTTTCACTATAAATCGTAATTAGTAAAACCAAGTCCAAATATGGAAAAGTAAAATCGGGTTTTAAGCGACTTGACCCACAAAACACCACTTCAAACGAAACATAATAATGGGAAAATAAAGTGAAATTAGATAATATGAGATAAAATAAAGTGTTCCAAATTTGAATGTTTAAATATATTCGTGATGTTGACGCGGAAACGGATCTCATTTTAGTTTTGTCTTTTTTTCATAATTTAATGATTTATTCACGTAAAACTTCGCGTGACTAATTCGCCACGACTAATTTTCAACAAAATTAAATGTATTCGATGATTTATCTTCGCAATTATATAAAAAAGCGATTAGAATAACATTACTTGAGCAGAAAACTGTAAAAAACTTTTCTCAATTAATATTCCGGATTTTTGGAAACACACCGTATGTAACAGTTTTTTTGTGATAAACTTATTCTGCAAGTGCAACCGTTGCGTATCGCTAAAATTTCAGTGTTTTGCAAGAAAACTCAATAAAAAATGCCACACTTTTAGAATAAGAAAGCAAAATTAATAATCATATTAATTCTCCGAAAAAGAACCGCCATCTATAAATTAAACCGGAATGCAAATTTGCAAAAAAGTCGAAACAAATTCAGATTAAATAATAAATTTAAATTGGTAAAACTTTTAATGTATTTTTAAACAAATATCAGTATATTAAAAAGCAACACAGTAAACTTTATTAGAACATTGTTATTTCACTTTATTGCAGTTTTAAAAACGTCAAAAAATTGAACATAGTAAACATTTTCCTAGTAAATAGAATGTTTCAAACAAGAAAAATGAAAAACAAAACGTTCTTTAAACGCAAAATATGTGTCAATTATTTTTCAGTTTATACAGAATGCGCCAGAACTCGCGCCCCGAGAAAACTGCCATGTGAGGTAAGATAACAGGAACATGGGAAAAATGTTTTAAAAATTTTATCTATAAAAATTTCGAAGTTATGAGAGTTTAAATTTTGCTCTTTGACTCGTATTTATTTCTGCTGCAAAAATAATTTTCCAAGTTTTTTTGCTACAGGCTATTAAAGAAAGCTGTATCCTAAATTATAACTTTGTTTAATGTTATTAAAAAATTAAATAATTTTAAACATTTTTTCCATGTTCCTGATATCTTACTCGAAATTTTTCTCTAAGGGGCGAGTTCTGACACACCTTGTATTTAACTAAAAGTCTCAAAAAATCACTTTATACTCAAACTTTCTGTGGTTGCGTATTAATACATATTCAGGTTTTTGAAATAGAATTAAATACAATAAAACCTGAAAAACTAAATTTTCATTCTAAAATTATTCAAAAAAACTGAAAAAAAGCAAAATTCTGTCAAAAAATTGAATGTACACTTTCCTAGTATGCAACAGTTAACTGTGTAGAATAGAAGAATACATAAACCATGTTCTATAAACGCAATTGTTAGGTAAATTACAATCTTCGAATTTCAAAAAAATGTTTTTACTGAAACTTTTTGTAATCTCTAATAAAAATAGAAAAACAAAACCTATTCTACAAAGTGATTTGTTGCGTATTAACACAATTTCAGGTTTTTGAAATAGATTAAATAAAATAAAAACTGCAAGAAACACTCATTTTTGTTTTCAAACTTATTCAAAAAAGTAAATTAATTAAAATTCCCTCTCAAAGATTCTGGGTAGGACCTCAAAAAATTGAACACTTTCCTAGTACGCAACAGTTGACTGTGTAGAACAGAATAATACATAAACCACGTTCTGTAAACGCAACTGTTGTGTTTCAATTATTTTTCAGTGGTGATTTGTTGCGTATTAATAAAATTTCACGTTTTTAAAGTAAATAGAATTAAAAAAGAAATAAAAATCCACTTTTCATTCAAAAAAACTTACAAATTAATATAACGCCTCAAAAATTCTGTTATACAAAACTCACTGTAGTTTGTTAGTCCACTTTCAGATTCTTGTAATATAATTTTTGATAAAAAAAAACTCTAAATATGACATAATATTCGTATAATTCTAATAAAAACACATTTCACAAGTTTTCAAAAATGCCAGAAATACGTATGTGTAAAAATTTTATTAATACACAACGGTTAAACGTTCAGAACAGAAAATTACAAACCTCGTTCTGGAATGTCAAAAATGAAGTAAACTCACATTTTCAGCAGTATACAGGATGATTATCGAATTAAAAAAAAATATTTAGAAATTCAACGCTGGTTCCATCGCCGCCTACTCTGCTTGTAAATCGGCTTTCAGCCCCGAAAAATTTTTAATATCTCGTTGAAAAAAGTTGATTTATCGAGCAACTGTTCATTGTTGGCGCCCTTCTAACTCGTCGTTATTCTTTCCATCGTATCACGATCAAGTTTTGTTCTGATCGAACGAATTATTTAAATTCGGTGTGTATAGACACAGTGCAAGGGTTCGAAATTTGCATACGACCATCTGTGTCCGTATTACAACCCCCGAAAAAATAAAAATTATCCCTTTCAATGTTTCCTTTATGAAGACTATGAAATATTACAGCATTTTGGTCCGCGGCCCCCTCTTTACGACGTTAATGGATTTATCACCCTCATTGTTTCGTTGTTCCTTCGGGATGATGAAGCGCGCCGATCGATTTGCATATACGCAACGGCAACACTCGTAGAACGATCGACTTTGTGAATTTTGTTTGATTGAAAGAATGGAATCTAAATCGGTTCAAGGTTGGCAATACAATGTTTATTGGTCTATCTGTTGGTTTAGTGTGAAGTGAAAAAGAGTTGGTACGGTCGTATTTCACGTACGGAATTAAAACATATATGGTATAAAGTCCGGTATAAAATAACTCGGTATAATAAAAGTAAACTAGTAACATTAAATCATATTTTCAATAAAACTAATTTTTCTTTGCAATGGAGAATTTATTACACAAAACCCATAAAATTTTATATCCCAGAAGACTGTAAATTTTAAATACAATAAAATATAATTTTAATTCTAAGTAGGCTGTGTTTTATTCTTGTCCATGAAGCGTTTAGGTGTCTTTAATAAACACACACCAATTAAAATATTGTAGATGAAAAGTGACACAAAAATTAAAAACTTATTTCCATAATTTTAACGATCGTTTTGCTTGTTCATTGTATTAACCACGTTGATAAATGATCCATACAATTCTTTTATTTAAATGTAAAACCCTTGAATGATTAATGATACACCAGATAGTTCACAATACGACTTCGTTTTTTATCATTATTATTATTTTTCCACGTCACGGAATTAACATCCAACATTCTTAATGATTTTTCTATAAATCAAACGGGCCGTGGAGAGACAGATGAACATCGATGAGCCCTCTCGATTATCCAAACCCTCACTAACCTTAAACCAGTTTTGAGACCGCGCCGATTCAAGTTAAAAAAATTAATTAAAATAAATTATGCATAATAACACCATAACAATAAAAAATTTGTTCAATTTCAAGAAAGTCAATAAATTTACATTTATTTACATTTTGTTGATATCTCTACGTCAAGGCGTTTAGAACTCGATTTTAATTGTGTTAGTTTTTGTAAAATTCTCACGTTTCTGACCCAAAATAAATTAAATCAAAACCTGTTCACAAACTGAACCGCTACATTTCTGCTTTTCTCTCATAAACTCAAAATTATTCCAAAAAATCTAATCAGCAAAATACGCAACTGTAAACTCGATTAATCGCAGGCTTTTCGACAATCAAAAAGCAGAAAAAAATGAGAATTGGTAGTAGGACGCAACGAACAAACATTCAGTTTTTCATTGATTGTTGATAATATGCAACAGTTGAATGTGCAGAACAAAAAAACTAAATAAATAAAGTACATTTTTAATTTTGATTTTGATTTTTTTTTGAAAAAGTAATAAATTCTACCGCTATATGTGATAATAGGTAACGGATAAATATTCAGAACGAAAAAAATATTTTAATAAAAAATTGTAGATGCACAAATTCCCAACGGTTGAAAATAATCTTAAAACTTCTTGTTTTCTTGGTAGATATTTAAAAAAACGTTATACGCAACAGTGAAAAAAATTTTTTTTTAATTGTCTCACAAATTCAAAAACAATTTAATTTTTTCCCAAAAATGTAAAAAACAAAAGACTTTTACGTGTCAGTAGTAAACGTTAGTAGTATCATTAGTACCAGTTTTCCTTGTTTGTTGACAATACGCAACAGTTATAGAAAACTCAAAAAATAATAAAGTAACAAACAAGTAAATTGTTAATTTGTTTTTTTAAGTA